ACAAATCAAAATTGAGAATTTTGTTACAGTTTTGATAATCACTTTGCAAGGAGGGTACTGGCTCACATTCACCTTCGTCACTTACCACTGTCAGCGGCGATTGACTTTGGAGGGGGCACTGGGAAGAGTACGGTCTGGAAGGTGGCACCTGGGACTTGGCTGTCAATCTGCAAAGATACAAACATCCTCATTTAGACTGATGGAGTCTTAACGATCATACTGCACAAAATCAACGGGCAAACAAACCTTAGTTAATTTTAGTTTTAAGACACTGGATTAGTAACCAAGCTTACAGAGTCTGCAGGGTTTCCAAGAGAGACAGAACTTAGTGTTCTACTTCCCTGAGCTAAAATGATTTAAGTCTTGTTTGCCACAATTCTTCTCCCTCTATTTTTCTCTCGCTCACCTGAACTGAATTGATCTTTGTAGAAAGTGTGAGTTCATTTGGCGAAGATGTATACTCTAATGAAATTCCTGGTGTAAATGTTCTTCTGATGTGCTGGCGTGTAGGCCGGACAATCTCCATTTGTTTAAAATCAACCTGGAAATGGTGGACTACATTTACTAAAAGCGTTAAACAAAAAGAGCAAAAAAATATGTTTAGGGAGACATGGATGATTCTTACTAACAAACGTTTGCTAGTGTATATTTTCCTCACTCGCAGTTTATCAAAATCACTCGCATTTTGCGAGGTTGCGAGAGTTAATTTCGAGCCTTGCTTGCCTTCCCTAAGAGTTCCCAACAGCTCGCTGGTGTACATTTAAACTCCCGGGCGAACAAAAGCACAATGACCCTCGCCACGCCTCGAGTCCAGCTCTCACTCTCCGACGTGTAGCGCTAGTCTTAGGCTACCGCGCCTCCCACTGCACCTTCCACCTCCCCCCACTGCACCTCCCAACTGAGCTGAAGGCCGGTAAAAGCTGATTTACAGCACCAATAAATTTGACCAACAAGAACAAAAAGTACAGATACTCGCCTCCAAGTCGCCACTCTTATAGATGTAATTGGCTGTGGCTCCTACGGCAATATCTTGCTGCAATTTATTCCAACCAGCTTCTAATTCATTGCAGAGGCGTAACTTGAGTGCCTTCCATCTTCCTTTCTTCTTCTGCTCTTCCCAGATAATATTACTCCTACAATAATAAATTTCAGATTTTTCATAGATTCCCAGAAATTAACTTTACTCCTTCACGCAGAAAAACATCAAACAACTTCACTTTTAACCCACTGTCCGGAGTAAACTTTTAAAGTTATTCTTTTCACCAGTGTACTGTCCGAGTTAAGATAAAAAAAAAATAAAAGAAAAAAAGGAAACGAGAAAAAGAAACGATAAAAGTGAGGATCTTACGGTTTAATTCCGATGTATGCCACCTCGATACTTTTTTCATTGTTCACAAGAGACAAGCCAACTCCCTGAAGTGCCAAAGTGATGCACTGTGAGGGGCGCTCCTTTAGTTCCTTGGTAAGAGAAGTAAATAATACAAAACATTCAATGTGTAAGAAATATTAGCATCAACTAACTTTATGGCCAGTCTCACGGAAGGGGTGGACGTAAAGTGCAAGTAGTGACTTGAGAAGAAAGAATTTCATTGCAAGTGGAAAGTTCATGAGGAGAGTTCATTAGAAGCAGAGCTGCAAAACGTTTGAATTAATAAATGAAGCGAGCACCGCAGTGCTGGGCTGCAGTTACTCAGTATCTTCTGCATCAAAAGAAAAATTACCACTTGAGCTCTGAAAGCCAGTGTAAAGTCATCAATGATGAGGAGCACGCGCTGCAGACCGTCCAGGAAGGTGGAATAGTAAAACTTCTTACCGTGGTGCTCAAACTTGTCAAAACCCGTCTACAGATAAAGCAGAATAAAAACATTATCGCATGACTCTAGCAAAAGGTGCTGAGTGGTGCATCATCGATTTCTTCTAAGGTAAAGGAGCCATAATGATGAGAATTCCAATCCTGGACTCCAACCGAGAGATCTGAGTTGAAAGCGGGCGGCCCAGGTTCGCTAGATAACAACAGGGTTTCTTTTCCAGGTGAAACGTAAGATGAAACCTCATAATTTGTTTCTTGTTCATATTGGTAATTAAACCGGAATTTTCAATTTGAACTGACGTCTTACTGAAATTTCAGCGCACCAAACACGCTTGAACTTCTCACATGATTGGGAGACAAAATCCGTCAAACGAACCGGGTCGAAGGTCCTTGGTAACCTGGAGATATGTTGCAATACGGAAAAAAAAAAGGCGTTGTAAATACTTCAATAACAACAACAACAGTGCTTACTTGTGACAAATCAGTGGTGATTTTCTCTTCAGATCCTTTGACAAACCAGACAAACTCTCTCGAAGCTAAGGGTTCATCCCATGTGAACAAAACGCTCTGGTTAGGATGTAAACAATGTTCCTTACAACTGAAAAACAAGTTACAGAGGCACTCGAGATGACCATCAGGGAGCGAGAAGAGAGTTGATACTGCTAATAGTTATGTGGCTTTTACCCACGTCCGTGTTCCTTCTCTCGTGCTAAAAAACTGGCTTATAAATCTTTCAAAAACAGTTCAATGATCTGAATTTGACTTAAAGCCAGCTCCGCGTTTCTCCCATCACTTTTTAACCCTTCAACTGCAAAAAGGGACCAAGACAGAATTTCTCCTTATAATATTAATAAAATATCAAGCAGATGAGAATAACGAAAATCATCGATTGGGAGATTATTTGTTGATCCTGTACCAAATTTGTCCAACTAATATCAAAAGAATTGGGAGATGCTAAGGAGAATTACTAATGAAACCTTGAGAGTGAAGTCGGAGTCCGAGTCATTATCAGAGGCGCAGTGCGATATGTTCCGATGAAAATTGAACTGAAGGAATCGGGAGCAGAGTACGGATGCCACTTATGATTCCGACACTTACGATATATGAACACTAGATTGTTATATTCGTTAACCATAGGATAGATTGAGGACGGATCAGTTTTCACAAGATAAGCGTCAGGGTCTAAAGCAAAATTGTATCGAAAAAATTGTATCGATCGGATTCTCCCAACTCCAGTTCTGTCAAATTTATGACACCGCTGACGACCGCTAATTTCAATTTTCTAAAGTTTGGAGTCGCATTTACAATTCCAACTCCGTTGCACAAAAAAACCAGCCTTTAGTGAGCTTACAAAACTTGCGCTTTCTTTGTAACTTCTTTCTTGAACGAGAAGAGGTTTTATGCAATTTCATAGTAAAAAGAGTCCCAAAACACAGCAACAGTGCAAGTGCACAGCAACCAAAACAAGTGTAAAAATTATAGCTTCCAGTTATCTAGTGTCTTCTGATAATTAACCAGTAATTAACAATCCTGTAGGGTTGAGTTAGCCCCGTATTACTTCCTTTCGGTTTACAAAAACACAGAAAAGCATTTAGCCAATATTCATTCATGTTTATCTCAACCTTCGTCAAAAAACGCTAAGTCCCTATTGAACTTACTCTTTCTGTTTATAGCAGATGTCTAGCTGAGTGCAGTTCTCCAGTCTAACGGCAGCTGCTCCGGTAAAGTATGGTGTGATAGTTATGATAGCTGCATTATCTTTTGTACGCATGTCGGCACACACAGCCCCCACCTGAGAATAGGAAAGTTACATGTCAACACACAGCCAATGTTTTTCCTGTAAGGTCCAAATCCGAGACCAGGGCGCGTCATCGTGTTTATTTTACAGGAACCGGAATAAGCTTTATTGAGTGCCGTAAAACCAGAATAGTAATCACAACAGCCAATCAAAAGAAGGAAAATTTCTCAAAGAACCAATGAGAAAGTAAAAATAAGCACCTTGCCTAGAGCGCAGAAAAACACGAGTTACCAAGTCAAAGTTAGTTTTAGTTTTAAATCACATTGATTGAAATATTGGCGCAAGTGTTTTGGACAAAATACGTAGTAAAGTAGAGCGAACACAAAGAGATTGCAAATGACCTTTGGCAATCGATTAAGATTAATCTAAAATTAATGAGTGATAACAGGATCACAAGGCTCTTACGACTAGAGCATCATTTCAATAAGAATCTTCCTGAGCCGCAACCTGCAGATTCAGGCTTGAAAAAATTTAATGTATCTCTTTTTCTTAATTATTTCCCCTGAATTACAGTCGGTATAGGCCATAACGAACTTTCTATAAATCGTTGCTGTAAACAAGTCGGCAGAATTCTCTAAAGAAGAGAAAAGATTTATCTCAGAGAGGTTTCAAGGTGCGACAGTTTTGGTATCAAAATACCAAGGCTGGTTTGCCTTCAATTGCATTGGGAACACGAGTCTCCACACACCTTTCCGTTCATTCTCAGCAGCAAGGTGATGTCGGGTTCGAAGTCAAAGCTTGGTGATACTTCTTCATTGTCCCCAACTCTGATAGCCAGGTTCTTGGATGGGAACGAATTTGGCCAGAATGGTACACACTGAAAACAAACAAACACACAGCAAATGGTTTGAACCCAAGTGTATCTGCTAATCGTGCAGTCTGCAGCTCCAAATGAGACAAGGACCAGTACGAACAAATTAAAACATTGTGGATTAACGTAGTGTTTAAAAACTACAACCGGCAGGAGACAGTTTAGCTGGCCACATAGAAAGCGAAGGAAAAGAGTTTAACTTGGGAAAACCGAGAGAAAATCCAGTGAGAAGCAGTGTGGAGGACTTGAACCCAAAACCACTAGATTACATGTTCAGCGCCCTAATCATTCTGCCACACTGCCTCCAAACGAAATATGAGACAAATTGAAGAAGATGACAGGAACACACACCTCTCCTGGTTGAACTTTAGTCCACTTCGAGTCTGGCCCCTTCGAGTCTGATAGCGATACTGTGTACTACAGCGGGAAAAAGGAACATTTACAGAGAGGTCAAAAATGCAGCCTCCGTGACATTTGTGAGTTGAATTCGGAAAAAAGCAAGCTTGATTACACCAGAAACTATGAATAAACATTCTAATTATTACCTCTGTGTGATTATTTATCAGATTAAAAGGCGTGAATTCCACAATCTTGGTTAAACTGAAGTAGGATAGGGTTGTCTGCATACCAATCTGCAAATGATTGTGACATTTGGGAGATTTAGAACCTCACTGTGCGGTAGAGTTAGAAAGCAAGAATTGGAGGTTTGCTGTTTCACTTCCAACCTTTCGGCAATAATATGAAAATACCAAGAATCAAAGAACATGACAACTTCCTTTGTTCAAGTACTAAAGCTTTTTTAAATACCTCGTACAATTTCCCATCCTTCGTGATCTTTAGAGCTCCCCCACTGCCTGCCGCGTCCAGAGAAAATTTATTGGACCAATCTGAT